ACCAAAATAAACAGTACTTCAACAATAAAAGTTATACGGTAGCAACTTACTAGATTAGAAGATATGTAATTAAAATTAATTTGGAAGAAATCAAATAGTAGAAATCAAAATCTTTGAAAACAAGAGTATGTTAGAAGTCACCTACAACAATCTGAAGAAATTTCGTAGAAGCAGCGTAAAGAACCAATGGCCAAAAACCCGCTTCCTCTTTCCTCTCTCCCCTTCCCTTTTGATCCCCCTTCTTCTCTTCCTTTCTCGGCATGCCAAATGAGAGAAGGAGAAAAAATGGGCTGAGTGAAGAGAAATTTATATTAAAAAAATATTTTTCAGTGCCTGGCGCCGTGATGCTTCAACATGACGCCGCATGCTCATTCCATAGTTACTATGAAAAAGAGAGCATCAACTCCGCCACCTCGAATTACAGCGTCCCAATGTTGCCCCCCTCGGGGCCGCGCGGTGCTCAAAATTCCAACGCCGCTGCTCCACAACACATAAATTAGAGTTGTTTCAAATAAATCTATTTAAGAACCATGGATTGTTAAAAATGATGTACCACTTCCACATCACAAGAAGTTAGAATCAATTGATACACATCACATCATATGGACCAAATCCAATTCATCGCTTGCACTTGCTGGTCCACCATGTCCAACGTTATATTTTTCAAAATCCATTAGAAAAGGATCTTTCAGAGATAAGATTTTCTTTCTTTATCTCAGTACATGGATCAAAGCTTTTATTCTTAATAAGGTGGTGTTGATTCAGCACTATGAGTTGCTGATTCAGAAGACGACCAAGTTTCTTTGCACTTTTCGGTTGCTTAATGTCCCAGTTTTTTCAAACCTCTAAATGCTTTATTTGGCCTTGAGCACCGAACATCTTCCATCAATCAAAAGTAGTGGACGCAGTCAGGAGAAGCTTCATCTTCGATGAATTCAAGCCAGGAACATCTCATTGGTATTCCCATCAGAAACTTTGGCCCGAAAGACTGTCTTCCAGGAACCTATTTGTGGCTTGTGCTCGCTCCAAACAATTTCCAACCTTCCAGCTTAAGCAAAGCCAAATTTCTTAATCTTTGCTTTTCATCTTAAAGCAAGAAACTAAAATAAAGGTTCTTATATCAAAATTTGGATACTACAGAAAAATCGTTTATTAAAGACAGAAATTTTCGGCGGGTTTAACTCAAATTTTTGGTGGTTTTTCAATTTTCCGGCGGTTTTTCCAAGTAAACAACGTAGGAAATGAAAATAGGTGGCAAATTTCCGACGGTTATATTTTCCGGCGGCTAGAACAACCGGAAATTAACAGACCCAAAATCACAGGTAAACCGACGGAAGATTTCGGCGCAAATACCGTCGGCGACCGCCGGTATTTACGGCAGCCAAAACGCCAGCTAGCAGTCGATTTTTACCCGTGGAAAAAAAAAACACACACACACACAACGGCAAAATTGTGTGAAACTTTTCACTTAAAAACGGCGGCTAAATCATCGATAAATGTCGTCATTAAAAAATAATACCAGCAGCAAATCCGGCGGCCATTTTGAAGTGGAGGAATGCAACGGGTTTGTTGTGTGATAGAAATATCTCCCTCAAACTTAAGGGCATCTCCAACCGAAAACTTCATTTTTCACAGCAAAGTAACGCAAAACTCCAAAATGGTGCAGTGATGCTCCAATCGAACGTCATTTTAGGTGTTTTTGAGAAGGTAACGATCGCTCTCCCTTTCGCGCGTTTTTCTAGTTGAGAGCAAAAAATGGCGTGAGTGAACAGTGCGATGCCACCTGCGATTAAATGGCAGAAATTTTCACGTTCGGTTGGAGCGACGGAACGACTCCATACACTCGTTTAGCGTTCGGTTGGAGATGCCCAAAGAGAAAATTTATAAGACGGTGGTTAGACCTGCAATGCTCTATGGTGCAGAATGATAATAACAAAATTGTTTTCTCTACAACAATTTCACAATCAATTTTATAAAATATTGTAGCCATCCCAAATAGATCCTAAATCAAAAAAGAGTTACAAATTATATTTTTCAATATTATACCGGCTCATTTGATTGTTTGATAGAAAATATGTTTTATGAAATGATGATTTCATTTTTGTTTATTTTGTGTACAAAAATAAAATCAATGCTTTTGTGAAGTTATTGGTGATTTTGAATCTAATAAATTTCATAATTTTTTAGAACATGCTTCTAATTTGAAGCACCCAAATGGGGCTTACATTTAAAATAAATTCAACTTGTTTGGTTGAAACTAATTTTATTATGAATATAAAATCTATTATTTGGTTGCTAATGATAAGCAAGCCCCAAATAGTTTTGATAAGGCAAATGATGATGAAATTTATTGTTTGATTTGAAAACAATCTCAATATAAAAATCAATTGAAACTTCTTATGATTTCATTCATTTATTATGTGTGTGAAAAAATGAAATTATTACATTTGAGAGTTTGTAAAGTTCAAAATTAATTTTGATTTATAATTACATTCAATAAAATGATAAAGTCTAATTATTGAATTCAAATTTGTCCGTGAGCGATATCTGAACCATACTCGCAAGATTAACTGCAAATAGTAGAGAACTAGAAGAGCAAGAGAGGTAGAGTGTAAGATAAATGCTCTGTGATTTTATTGCTCAAAGGTCAAGAGGTAGAGACAAATAAGTTGATTTGTGCTGTTAGGCTTGCCCTGTAACCCCCTATTTATATGTGAGAGTAGAGGCAATACTATATAAAAAGAATTACATTAAAAGATAAATACATGAATGACATAACTTGGCCAAATAAAATATTGTCACAAAAAGGAAATACGATAATTATATCTTATTAATTACATGAGGTATACATTAAGGCTATCAAAATATAACATAACTCTATATGCAGCACTAGCGTAGTCCGATCTGATTGACCAATGAGACCAACATCTTTTAGCCAATTGGGTTGACTCGAGCTCAACATGAGCAATTTGTCCTGTACATTTAATTCTCTGATTTTTTGTCTCTTTTGTGAAACCTAAAAGTGCATAAAAATTAATAAATTAAATTTATTGTATATGCCCAAACAAAACCTTAATGAATGAACAAATATTTTACTTTTCTATTTTTTTTTTCTTATATTGCTCCTATGTTTACGACATTGTATTTTAAAGACGCTATAAAAAGATTATAGTTCATGTTAAGGAGAGGAGCCTTCTATTAGGAGTTGTGATTCAAGACTAGACATTGTATTTTGTATTTATTTATTTATTTTTTCTTAGAAGCATCTTTACATGGTTATTAGAATAAATATGAGTGTTGAATTGAACCTTTGACAAGCCTTTACAAGCTAAGCTACAACCCTTTAATAAGCCACTAATTAGCCTTGATACTTCAAAGATTATGAATTGCTTCAATGTGCTAATCAATACAAGTATTGAGTGAGCTCCATAGATGTTTTATTTACTTCTTGCAAAGGTGGGTGGGGTTGGACTTTATTGAGGTATAAACTCGATCACTCTTATGGGAACTTTTTATTTTTATTGGCAGAATAGACTCTATGGAGAATAATTTAGCATCTGGGATCGAGCTACTTATTAGGATCAATGAGTTCTTTAGGAGTTGATTTTACTGTCTCAACTTTTATCGGTTGACTAACATTATATGTTTTTCATATTCTGACCATTGCGATATCGTCTTGGTGGAAAGTGAATCAAAATAATAATAGCTACATTATTTTTAGGCATCATTACATTTTATCAATTAATTAGAGGGAGGTGATTGGCTATAATCATCAGATTGAACAAGAGCAATTTAATAGAATAATTTACATCGTCTAGTTAGCCACAATAAGAAGTGATCATGTCGAATTAATCCTTGAGCAAATAGCCATTTTGGGCCATAGGAAAAGGATTTTGTGATGGGAGCTTGTAGGGCGCATCAATAGGAGCAACTACATGTGAAGGAGAAGATGATTTTGTGACGAGAGCTCATCAAAGGCATTGAAAGGAGCAACGATGTGTGAAGAAGAAAAAGATTTTACAATGATAAAATGAGGAGAAAAATTTGAACCTTAAATTGAAATAAGATTTAAACAATGTGTAAATCATGTTCAAACAAAGGTTCTAATCAAGTTCGGACAAATATTCAAACTCAAACTAGTTCAAAACAATTTCAGTAGAACTTTAATAAACAATTCACATGCACAAGAAGTCCTCATAGGAGACATCTAAATTTAGATTTCTTATTTTATTTTTTATTGATCTTTTTTTTTTTCTTTAATTATTGGGCCATTAGCCCTTTAACAGTATGGGCTTTTCTTATTCCCATTATATGAAAGGTGGACTTTAAGCAATGCGGTCATTAATAATTTAGATTAGATCAAATTTGTCACTAAAATAAGGTTTAAAATTATTAATTTTTTTAAAAATGAGAATAATATACAATTTAATTACTTTATCATATAATATATTTCTTTCAAAATAAATTTAATAATTTGAGATTTATTCAATTAAAATTTAATCTGAATACTTTATAAAGCAATCTGAAATCAACACTGCTTAGACCATTAGATATATGACGAGCAATGCGAGGAAGGTCAGTGAACAAAATCATTTTTGTGCCTGAAAATGTTTTTCTGTAAAACAGCCATTGAAACTGAGGGTTTTGGCTTCAAAGGAAATCATTATTTTCAGAAAAGTATAATGCAACAGCGGATTTAAAAATAATATATGTATGGTAATATTAAAATTTATCAAACATATTTTTATAAGAAAATCAAATTATGATATGAGCTATTTCTTGAAAGCAATTATGTTGGAAAGCATTAAAAAAAAAAAAATCTTTATGCATTGAACCACTTTGATTTCGAATCAAATGGCTAACATACAAATCATGAAATAACAAGTCAAAAAGACTAGAAAAAAATGAAAATTGTAGAGAAGTTAGAAGGAATAAGTTGATTAAAGAAGCAAAAGAAGATCGGGAAGAGTAGAAATTCAAATTTTCATGAACAAAACGACTATATATAACTATTGAAAGCAGCGCTTCTGCTTTTTTTACCACAAAGGAAAGCCAGGCAAAGACTTCCAGCGAGTCTAAATCCAAAATAAAAGAAAAGGAGGAAGAGATCTTCCCATGGAATTACAATAATTGAAGGCAGGATGAAATTACCAGCAAATTAATTTCTCCTGCTCTGCGCCCAAGCCGATCAAAACGGAAGATCAATCTATCATCTTAACTTCAGTCGAATCGCTACCCCAAGCGAAAACGATGAAACAAACAAAAAAGTATAAATTACTTGATGCGCGGCGAGGGATTCAACTATCCAGGTTTCCTCAGCCTAATCTGATCATAGTTTTTCTTTATGAAATCGTCAAATCGTTGATTCATCGCGTCGTTGCCCTCCGAAAACGCATTGTAGCCCTTAACTGCTGCCGCTGACACTCGAACTGGCTGCTTGGCGGCTATCAGCGGTGGAGGAGATCTCTCCCATCTGCCGCTCTTGCTCGTGATAGCATTCCAAGTAGCGTCCAGAGAATCGGTTCCGTCTCGGTCATCCACCGCCGTCTTCTCTTTCCCTTCCGCACCTATGGCTGTCAATGCGGCTTCCGATAAGAGAAGGTCGTTAGAAGAGGAAGAAGAAGCGGTTGATTTCTCCCCGGACACTGTCGTTATGCAGGAAGATTCGGACGCCGGCGCTGGAGAGGTCTCCACTGCTGCAGAGTCCGTTATACCATTTCCGGCAGAGATCGAAGGGGTTTTAACAAAATCCTCCGGCGTAGTCTTCCGTAGAAGGTGGGGAGCATGAGAAGAGACGAGATCTCGAGATCGGACAGAAATAATATCAGGGCTAAAGGGGCTTTCCTCTTCCGGGAGGCGTTCAGTGTAGAGTGCTCGGTTTTCCGAGAGCTTCCAAATCGTCAGAATGATGAAGTTAACAGCGATGAAAAGATAAGGAGGAGCAGTCGAAGAGCGGACGGAATTCCAAAGTCCAGGTATGTTGGAGGCGAGGAGGCTGAAGACGCACGGAACTACAAACCAGGCGAGGATTCCGGCAAAGAAGATCCCGCCGACGAGTGCGGCTAGCTTCGTTGTAGAAAATGCTTTCTTCCCGCGAATACGGAGCAGATCCAGCATCGCATTCATCGGAGGAATATCTGAGGAGACAGATAAAGAATAAATTAAAACTGACGACAGCTTATAGATCTGATGCGAAATGCAAGAACGAAGCGTGAAGCGTCGTATTAGACTATTAGGAGAAATTATTTGTGAGTTTTGAATGGCGCTTAGGCGATTGTGCTTACCCATCAGATGCGCTCGCTTCGAAGCACAGAATATGGAGAGAGAGAGAGATGAAAAGGACAATAGAGAGAGAGAGAGAGAGGAGAGAGAGAGAGAGAGAGAGGAGAGAGAGAGGAAGTTGGATGTTTGAATCCGAGGCGACTTTATCCGATGCTGCGGAGACTAATAACGAGAATCGCGACCGTCGGAGCAGAATATACTGCTCCACACAACTCTCCTTGATCTATTGGTTGAAAGCTAAGACTTCCAACTAAGAGGTCTAAGGTTCGAGTCTAATATATATATTGTGTGTGAGTTTGCCTTTTTTTTAATTAATTTAATTAAGATCATCTCAAACCCAAATGTAAATCGTGATATGACATTCATCAATCACTTCATTCAAAGAGATTATTTCGTGCGGTGTCCGGACCATCTGGAGTTGAATCCGACCGCACCATGTCACCCGGATGCATTGGGTCCTGTGTGACCTGTCTAAGACTGAAATAGTTGATTTTGTAGGATTTCAAATGCTAAATCTCAAGCCAAAATTTGATAGTGAACAGTATGACGATAATATTATCGCATTGCGTCAATTTTTTGTGTTACGGAATTTGCCAAAGGAGCGTGCGAAACATGAGAAAGATGATTATCTTCGTAGCGAGATGAAGAAGGGCGCGAAATATTGTATTTTAAAGTTTTAATACATTTTTGAGTGGAAAAAGATTTTTTTTTTTATTGGAGATGCCCTAAATATAGTATACCCTTAATCATATTCCAACCATATTAGTACAATACTACATGTCAACTCTACACAACTCTCCTTGGCCTATTGGTTGAGAGCTTTGGCTTTCAACTAAGAGGTTCAGGGTTCGAGTATGTCTATGTGTATGCGTTGTGTGTGTGAGTTTGCCTTAAATGGCCTAAATGCCCAAAAAAAAAAAAAACATGTCAACTCTGGTTGAAAAGAAATAGCAGAATTTTTAGAGGTTTGATTTCAAACAATATAATATTGGTTGAGAAAATTGGGTTTTTTATGCTATGAACTTCTTAAAAAAATTCCATTTATATCTTTAATACTATATGAGTGCAATAATGCAATATATCATCTTTGATGGTTGGTCTCATATTTAAAAATCTTCTACTTTTTCTTTTTCTTTTTCTTTTGCTCTCTCTCTCTCTATTCTTTAATCAAAGCGAGCGCATCATATGAGTAAGCTCTATTACAACGCACGAATAATTTCTCCTAATCTGATATTTCTTTCTTGCATTTTGCATTAGATCAATTAATCATCTTCAAGTTTTTCCTTTTATTTTTTCTCCGAAAATCTTCTGTTTTTCTTGCATTTTGCATTATCTCTAAATCAAATGTTGAACGTCTCTTCTCATTTATATGTAGCCCATTTCATTGAGCCTGCCTCTAGCAAACTCATGTTGCGGGCATCGCAAAATACTCTTGGCCTTCACATGTCATCACTTCCATCACCACATTTCGTCACTCCCATCGATGCCTTCAATGTGCTCCCAAATCACTAGAAATTATTCTGTGCAAAAGCCGAACGCGGTTCAGAGACCAATCAGAATGCGTCACGTCACCTCATGCTCGGTACATATCTCGGTACCGCTGCTTGGTACTGATGACGTGGCACATTCTGATTGGTCTCCAGACGGTGAATTACGTTCATCAGTCTGCACAGAATAAACAATTATGAGGAAAGAGAAGCCGACGTGGTTGCAGCCTGGCGGTAATAATTAATGGTATGTAATCTCTAACCTGCGAAGTTCAGTAACTCTGCAATGCCCAATTAATAGCTTACAACGATTTAGTGAATTGGCAATAACTGCCCATTTTGCGTCATGGCATAGGCATTTTTAGTTTTGAAAAGTTTTTTTTTTTTTTCCACTCTTTTAGATTGCTTGTTTATTAATTGATTTTTAATTTTTTGTATATCTAAGTCCAGCTCTCGTTCATTTATTAAGGGCTCTTCCTCATCTGGATCATTTGCGGATCTTAAGCAGTCCTAATTTTGGGGGTTTCCCTCTCTATGGATTTCAGAGGAAGTGGTCTTGGCTCTTTCCTCCCCATTCGTATTTTCCCTTATTGCTTATTTTCCTAATCATAGGCCTTCTTTGGATGCTATTAGTAGGTTTTTCTTTAATTTAAAACTCTCCGAAGAATTTTTCGTCACCCTGTTGTATTCCCGTCATGTGTTGTTCAAACTGCAATGTGATTTGGATTATTTCCATTTTTTTGCTCATAGATCCTATTTTGTTAGGAATTGCTTCATGAAACTGACCAAGTGGTCACCATTTATAGACATTTTTGAGGAATCCCCCATTGTCTAGGTTTGGGTCTCCTTCCCGAACATACGACCACATATCTTTTTGGACATACTCTTTGTATTGATAATGCCAATGCGGTGGGGGCTTGTCCGTTGGTTGCTAGAGTTGGTGGAACTTGATATCACAAAACAATATCCTGATAAAGTGTGGTTGGGTCCTGAGAAATTTGATTATTTTCAAACTGTGTTGTGGATTAATTTACATCCTTTTGTGATCATTATAAAGCTTTAGGTCATTTTAGGAAAGGTTGTTCAATGCTTCATACCCGGGATGTTAAAGAATCGAGATAATGTGATTATAACTAGCGATGTGCTTAATGTGCATATGTTTTCTAGCGGCAATGGTGGTTTTAGCTTAACAGTACACGAAAAGGTGGCTAATGTGGACTTGTATACTGTTGTGCATGAAGAGATTCAAGGTAATGTTAATTTGGAGGCTTTTCCAGTCTCTTCTATTGGGCCTCCTCTAGCTGAAGCACTTATGGTTGCGGAGAAGGATTGGTGCCTTGTCAACAAATTGTTGTTGGATGAATCATCTAATGAAACTAATGTTGCTTCTCGTTTGGTTACATTTGAACATGCTTTGTTGTCTGTTCATATGCAACCGAATGGAGAACCTTTAATTCATGTTCTGATCTCCCTTATCTCTAATGATGAATTGAAAGTTCATATGAAGGTTAACTTGAAGGGTAGTTGTTTGGATCAAACTGATTGGTTGGAGGAGTCTGCTTCCTCGATCGCTTGGGGGTGTTCGTGGTGAACCTGGGGCTGATTTCATGATATGTTTGCTTTGGAGGTTGGTCATTCTGTTATTAAAGGTTTCTCGCATGGGAGGGGCAATTGGGAAAACGTGGTAGGAAGAAATCCAAATGGTAGTATTGTTTGTGAGGAGTCTTTCTCTTTGTTGTTGTGGATTTAATTGTTTAAGTTGGTTGCCGATGGGTTTTATTTGGGGGTTGTTGGATTGGATTTCCTTTGGTTGGGCTCCTGTGGGAATTCTGAGATCTTGGGTATGTCTAGTGTTCTTGCTTTTATAGTGGTGGTTTTGTTTTGGGTGCTGCTTCTTTGGTTTGTTTTTTGGATAATGATGAGGCTGCATTTGGCTTCCCTCTAGTTGGATGTGGCTTGCTGGCAACCTTTGTGGTTCTAAAACAAAATTAATTGAGACTATTAATAAATCTAAAACAAAATTATAAGATATTTTTCAAATTTATTAAAATTCTTCTTCCAAAAAGCTCAAAAATATGACATTTTTTTATTGGAGAGGGGATTTAGAGGGCCCAGAGAATTAAATGCTCTTTTATATCTTCTTGCAAATGACTGCCATCAACAATCACTATCAGCATCACCGGAATTCAATCGTCTATCTATTATAGCTTGACTATTAATATTTAATCTTATTATTAAGGTTTAATTGTCTGCTTGTTGACACTCAATTTCCGTAATCTTTATAAGAAAAATTAGATAATTGTTCTGACCTATGTGTAATCACATCATCTTCAATTGTCTAGAAAGAAAGATTTTTAAATTAGCTATAATAATTAATTCTTATTGTTGTGGCTAAAAAATTCATAGTGGTAGAGTAAAAATATTTTGTCTTAACGATACACAAAATCTCAACACACAAACAGAAGATAAAAAATACTAAAAAATTTACGTGGAAAATACTGAGATAAAGGAAAATCATGGTGCCTTGCCCAGTCTCCTCAAACAAACCTGATGATAAGCTTATCATGAAATAATATTGTATTTTAGGGATTTGATTTCAACTTTTTTTTCCTCTTTCAAATCTAAATTTTGGAATGAATTTGTTCTTTAATAGATTTCAAAATTCAAAGTCCTGCTCCAAAGCCAAATTAATATTTAGTTGAATTTTGAATTATCAATTGTTTCTTTAATTAGTTTTGATCATTTGAAAATGATGAGAAATTTGAGTTTATATGTCTCATAATAATAATAATTTATTAAATATAAAGGTGCTAATAAATGACCCAACTCGAAAACCCAACTGAATCTGCCTGAAACAATTCAAGCCTGAATTGATCCAATTATTATTTGAGTTAGGTTTCGGATATGAAAACTTGACGTAATTAATTTTCGGACTAAATTCACATTGACCATAAACTCAAAACTAACCTAATTATCATGCAAAATCAAGTTAAATTGACCATTTGCTGGTTTAAAAGTATGTTATAGTATTTTTGTTAAATAATTGGTGTTGGCCTAAGAAAAATTGCATACTCTATATAATAAGCCGGTCAAATGGATTGGATATGAGTTGAGTCAAATTCGTATAAAATTTTTTTACCCATATGATAAATGGATCGATTTCAGTCAAATATATTTTGGTCAAGTCAAGTTCTAGTGAGTTTTGAATCAACCCGCCAACTTGACTTGACATCACCCGTTATTATTTCTCAAAGAAACAAACCCCAATGTTCATTCAAACCAAATCATCATTAATACAGGCAAGATCGAGGAGAAGTTTACAATTTATCATAAGAACTACTCGAACAATCTAAGATTACATTGAAATCAAACACTTACATAGTAAGAAAAGTATTAAGTAAACTCTAATTAACTCAAATAAACTACTTAATTTCAATCAAACAATCAACAATGTCAGAGAAATTTTAATTTATGATTGATTATATATAGGTGAGGATGCCAAAGGAGATAATGGAGAATAAAAGATGGTGTGACATTTTACCTTCCAAACTTAATTAGAATCCATCTTAATCTCTTTAATCATGACTTGTTTTAGATTTATTAATGTTCTCAATTAGTTGAT